ATCGCGCGATAGTCATGAAACTTTTTGTAGGTGGATGGCCCTTGAGAGCCACCGTACTCCCGAGTGCGGGCCGATTTCCTTGTAACATTATAGTCACAAGTTGCGTTGCTCTTCTTAAAGTATCAGAAGTTGGTACCAGAAGACTACAGCTCGGTGCGGAGGAAACTCGATCCGCACTGAGTGAGACACATGCACAGTGTCTGTAACATTATAGTCACCAGTTGCGTTGCTCTTCTTAAAGTATCAGAAGTTGGTACCAGAGGCTTACAGCTCGGTGCGGAGGAAGCTCGATCCGCATTGAGTGAGACACATGAACAGTGTCTGACGCACAAGCGAGCGGTTAAAGAGGCAGCAAATGACCGTCATAAGGTCATTTCGTGACTTTACGATTATTATGGCAAAGTCATACCCGCCTAAGGCACTTCAGCCTGATACTCTGATGAAAACGTTCCTGATGCATTGGAAACCTGGTTCAGTATCAATGGGTCAAGATGACCTTCTTGATGAGATCCTTGGTGCATAGCTTTAAGAAAAACAGGAATGACTTACGTTGTGTTTTATTCTCAAACGCTCGGCTGCCATTTGTTTTCAAAATTTTCGTCAGTTTCATTTTCGTAATTTTTGTCATTTTCATTTCCGCTAAATCGCGTGACTTGTGCGCAATCGAGACCATTTCAATTACTGCCTCAGTCAAGGCTCTGGGAAGCCATGCAAAATATTAATCCGATCTACATTTATAAATTGATAAAGTACATTAAATGTTATAGATGTGACTGAGAGGCTGGAACATCTGTTGCATGAACCTAAATTTCATGAGAGAAAATGCGATTTGTAATCAGTTCATCTAAGAAATCTAAAGGTAGTACGGGGGAATTAGCTGAATGAATCATCTATTATCCTTAAAAAGTAACTAAGTTTTGAACGCCAGAAATGATAGTCAGACAGATTTTCAGGGCACTTTGCTCGGGCATTTGTAACTTGCAAAGCGTTCTCTGCTCATTGCTTACGTTGCTGATCTGTTTTTTAGAAGAACTGAAGATTTAGATAAATAGACAGGAATATAAAACCCTGTTCCTTCATATTGTAAACATGTTAATTTCAAATCCTTTGTCTGCTTTTCCTTTTACATTTTAAATTCAAAACAAAGTTCTCGGCATCGTGCTCTGGCCAATAAAAGTTTTCATCAAACAACAAACATATGAAATACATATATATGAACTGCGGTTATGAAGCGTATATGTGCACGATTCTTCGCTGTAAAGCACTATTTAAGCAATAGTGCAAATCAGACCTGAAAAAAATTCAGGCCTGTACGGGATTCGAACCACTGACCTCTGCGATACTAAGAGCGCTGCACTAGATACTAGAGCGATACTAGAGCGCTGCACTAGTATCGCAGAGGTCAGTGGTTCGAATCCCGTAC